CCCTGCCAGCTAGGTTTTGGGCATCTAGAATTTATTTTAATTTTAACATTTAGCGTTTTTTTAAAGGTAGATTTCTTTAAAAGAGTGAATTGCTGGTATATCTACGATTTTTAAGTAATGTATGCTAATGATTTTTTAAAATGCCTTCCATTTTTAATTCACATAATAAAACAATTAACATATATTCGTTTTTACCAGGGATGTGAACCCTTCAACAAAAAAAAGGGTCCGGGTTCGGGTCCTGTAATAAATTTTTAAAGGACCCGGGTCCAGGGTTCGGGTCCGGGTCCAGGGAACATAAAAATAATGACTCAAAATAAGACTTTTTTTTCATTCATTTTTATTATACTTCAATATATATACACATTCATAATTCAAAATGAAATAATTTAAATTTTAAATATTTTATTCAATCGAACGATCATAATATCTTCTAAAATATCATCCTTGAGATTTCCACATAAATTAGACAATATGTATTTCAAAGAAGAAAATCCACGTTCTACGCTGACCTAAAATAGATAGTTATCTTTATAATATATAAATTATTGTACCTGTGTCGCCGGTACAGCCATGACGAATCTAGACAAGGTATACAATTCAGGATATATTAGAGAATTTTCCTCCCAGAATGTTAAAATATTTTTATCCCTATTAATTCTCTTAACTTCTGAGAATTTTTCAATTAAAGATACAATCGATATTTTTTTCACCTTTCTATCTGATCCTGATGATAATTTTATTTTTTTTTCTCTATCTAATAATATAATTTCGAGATCGTCAATATTACTATCATCATTACTATCGCTACAACCATTAGATGTTGAAGCCTCCAATATATTGTTAATAATAGAGTTATGGTTATGCCATAAATCGTCGAGATGGTCTATTGCCATTTGCTTTTGCTCAATACTTAATAGAACTTGATATCGAGGATCTAAATATATTGAGGCATACACAACACTATTTTTCAAATATTGTTGCTCTCGTATTTTCATGTTTTCTAATATTTCGTATGAAAAGGAACTTGTAAATTTTTCTAATTCTAATCGACATCTCACCCATATGCCATAAAAATCGGATAAACACAACTGTTCTGACTGCAATCATAATGTAGTAATTTTCAAAGGAACCAACACCCTAGTAAGGTCTTTGATTTGATTTCAATCATCCTCTGACAAAATGATTTCACATGATCCTATAATAAAATCATCACAGAAATCTTTTAAACTTATTAATCGCTCTAGCATCATACAGATAGAGGACCAACGGGTTGTGCAATCTAATATTGCCATTTGCCTTTCATGGATTTTAATATTCGTACAATTGTAGGAGTTCTTAAATATTTTGCAACATCCCTTGCTTTGTCAATTATAGTTTTAAAGATATTATTTTTGAGGGAATCATTAATAGCTAATTGTAGTGTGTGGGCTGCACATCTGATACAGTATATCTTCGTGGAAAAATCTTTTATTATCTCCGGTATGTCAAATTCACTTATGTCCTCAAAATTATTATCATCATTATTTATATCTATATCATCCATTTCGTCCAATGAACATTCATTTAATAATTTAATAGATTTGACTAGATTAGCACCATTATCCGTAGTAATGGTATAAACGTTTCTTAAAGGAATATGGAATTTATTTAAAGTTTCTATTATCATTCTTTTTATATTTTCAGAAGTTGAACTTTCTTTAATCTCCTTCATTGCTAAATTTCTTAAGATTATATTATTTCCTTTAATATATTGTATATTTATTCCTAAAATATTTTTCCCTAATCTTTGGGCGGAATCCATTTTTAATGAAATTAATTTGTTTTTTGTTTCTTTATAATTTTTGCTTGCATTTTTTTCGATTCATCAACCACTAAGTTCTTAATAAACGGTTAATTGATGTTCCAATTGCCTTACTAATAGGATCAATAATTTTTTTAAACCGGAATCCTCAATAATATTGAAAGGTCTTCCATTTATTGTAACAAGCTCAACTAAAGCATTCTTCAAATTTTCCTCAGACATTTGAATATGAATGCTTTTTTTTAGGCAAAAAGCATATTAATAAATTTACATAATAAAATATTATTACTTACACTAGAAAATAATTTATGGTATCAATCTCTAAATAAAATGAAATGAAGTTTAGGAAGAAAATCAAAAGAAAAGCGCGAATATAAAATAAATGATTCCACGAAAAAAATTAATAAAATTATAAAAATTTTATATTATTTTTTAAAAATAATATTTTTACATTATTTAAAAAAAAAAATTTATATGTTAAAATTTTTACCCTGAACCCTTGAACCCTCCACTTTTTAAAAGGGTTCGGGTCCGGGTTCGGGTTCAGCCAAAATACGAGGGTTCAGGGTCCGGGTCCGGGTTCACATCCCTGGTTTTTACATTCAAAAATTGTAGGAATAAATTAATAATATACCAAATATAATATTTGTTAATTTAAATAATATTTTTCTGTGCTCTCAACCAGGTTCAGGGATACTGAACCCAACCCAAACCTTTTTTATTGCATGGATTCACAACCCTAGGCGAAAGTGTAGAATAAGTATCGGAAATCATTATACATTTCTAATCCCACGTCAAATATTATACATTCAATAAACTATCAATTACTATGCCACTTGAAAAAAATACAATAAATATTTCTTTTAAAAATTAATCATTACATAATTTAATAATATTGTTTTGACGGGAAAGATTAAAAAGGATACTTTCTAAATAATTCTTAATAATTCGTAAATCATGAACGAAGTCGAAGAATTACTTGGGTGAGATTGAGCGAAAAATTCGCTATCTGTTATATTCACAAAAGTATACTTTTTATTTCGTAATTTTATTAATATCATAGGTCGTTGTTTTTGGAAAAGCGTCAGTCAAGACTAAAAATGTAATAGAATATTATTTCTTGGAATAGAACGAAAAGTATTTAGAAGGTGTACTAATTGGTAAATTCCCAAAAGGACAAATTCAGAATAAAATAATTACACATAATGATAATAACATTAGGAATCAGCCGAAAATTTACAAACTTCCTCAGCCGTTGGTCTTAGCAGTTTTAGCTTACAACTCAGTGTGGAGAGATTAATTTTTCCTTCATAATTTATGTAATTATCACCATAAAGATATAAAAGAATAATAATTTATAGGGAAGAAATCTCGTAACCGTAAATAAATTTCTAATTGCGGGGATTGGGGGAAAGTGGCTGATGAGGTAACAATATTTTTAATCTGTTTATTATATTTAAAATTTTTCAAATAAAGTTTGTGATTCTTTAATTTATGCGATCGAATACAGAATTCAAATCATATTTCCGTAAAAGATTTTCATTTTTTTACCCAATAAAAGTTAAATTTTCACAAAATGATCCGAATATGTTAATATTTTTACATTTAAGTGGCCAGCATATAGTCATTTAAAAGGTTCCACGTCAATTCGGCGCGGAAAATTCGGCGCACGACAATTCGCGCAGAAAACTCAGCGCATCGTCAATTCAGCGCGGCGACAATTCAGCGCAACGTCAATTCAGCGCGGCGACAATTCGGCGCAACGTCAATTCGACGCGTATCTAATACAGTTGCAATTTATTATAAATTTATTAGTATAAAAAAAAGGATGATTAAATAGAAATGATTTTGAATGTTGATCATTATTTCTTCGTATTTTTTTTTTACAAAAATCTCAATTTTATTTACTAAATGTGTAATATCAATAAAAAAAATTAACAACCAATATTTATACCGATTTCCTTGCTGGACCAATTTTCCACATTATAAGGTAGGGGAGACTGGGGTTAGTCGGACCGATTTTTACAAAATTTAGCTCCTGATTTTTTTAGATAATATAAAAAATAATATATGATTAGATACCTCCTAAAACTATACTCTATAAAGGTACCTTATAAAAATTTTAAGAATATAATCATTTTTTTTAAATTTTACTTTTTGAAAAAGAACAATTTTGTCCAACAAGCCCCAATAGCGGGTAAATTAAGGCAAGTTATATATAAAAATTGAAACTTAATTTTGGTTAATTAAATAAACATTTTGTATTTTTTTCATTATTAACTGCCATAATTGACGTGTATGGTTTAGCAAGCCCTGCTAACTCTAAATTTCTGGATATAATAAATACTCATAAAACTTTCCCAAATTATAAAAACTTCATCAATATTTTATTTCTTAAATAAAATTTTTAATAATTATTTCAAAAGATTTTTTGTCTATAGACGTAAACTAATAAAAACTATATTATGATAAAATTTTAACCTTCTGTTGTAATTAATTTTAAGAAGAGATTAAGTGGTTTGCCAAGCCCCTGATTAGTAGGCAATATTATGTAAGCCTGGAGATTTTGCGTGAACCTTTATCTCGATAAACATTTTGTATTTTTTTCATTATTAACTGCCATATATGGTTTAGCAAGCCCTGCTAACTCTAAATTTCTGGATATAATAAATACTCATAAAACTTTCCCAAATTATAAAAACTTCATCAATATTTTATTTCTTAAATAAAATTTTTAATAATTATTTCAAAAGATTTTTTGTCTATAGACGTAAACTAATAAAAACTATATTATGATAAAATTTTAACCTTCTGGTGTATTTAATTTTAAGATGAGATTAAGTGGTTTGCCAAGCCCCGGTACCTAACCCCAGTCTCCCCTATTTTGATTAGTAGCCAATATTATGTAAGCGAGATTTTGCGCTAAATGTAAGAAAAGTTTGGACTTCTATCTCTAATCTTACATGTTATTATGGCTAAAATCTTAATCGACCCAAAAAATTCAAATTAAGACTGATTCATTTTTTAGATTTATTAAAAATCCTTAAAATAATTCTATTAATCATTTTAAATATATATTATGTTTAACTAATTTTTTCTATTATAAAATAATCAAAAACGAATTAACGCACAATTTTTTTATTTATATATATAATGACAATAGAAAATACAAATATACTATATAAAACATGCCAAAAATATGTTTAAAAGAACATTTAAAAAAAATAGATAACATTAATTTGTTTGTAAATTAAAATTATATGCGATCCCTCTTAAATAATCATTAATCGGGCGATTTACATAGTCAGATACAATTAATATAATATTTTCAGCTGTATCCCGATACACCTTTCTTGATCTCGGGGGTTGCGTACCAGAAATATATTGTTCAATTTTTGCTTCGGTTAACGATTGTTCTAAACGTAGAGCATCTAAAAATTTCCAAATAGAGGGATGGTGCGATGATAGCAGAGATGAGAATGCTCTGTGCCAACCTTTAGAAAATAATTGCAAAGTAAATTATAAAAAATATTGTGTAATAATGATTAAAAAGATAGCAAATTTTAAAAATTTTTTACCTTCAACTGCATTATTTATCTTTGATTCCCTCCAATGTAGCAGCGTATTGATTCCAAAGGGGAATTGGAAACCTTGGTTCTTGTCTATCTCCATTACGAAGAATCTTGCCAATCCAGGTGGTCGTAATATGTTATAAGTTTGTCCAAGACACTTTCATTGTCTTGATAGAATTGTGTGTGTAATAGCCCATAAAAGGCATCAAACACGTCCTCCACGGGAACAAATGCAAGTGACACCATTTGTCTAATTTTTATAGACCAATCACTTCCCGCATCTCTATCTAAATAATGAGATAATAATTCGCTATCACTTTGGATGTGCCTCCAAATTGCTTGAGTCATATGAAAAAAACAGCCTCTTACTGTTATCGATGGAAATGAATGTGTAAAGGCATTTATTTCAGCCTACTCAAAATCGATCATTACCGATATAGGATTTACATTGTTTTGTAATCTTTTTATCTCACCCAAAGACCCTTATGTATGTAATCTGGGTTTTATTCGGTAATAGCGCAAAAATTGTGGGTATAACTGTTTTATTATATAGGACATGGAGGGTCCAAAGTTGGTAAAAAATTAAGGGGGTTGTCTTAAACGTGCCATCTGCATACCAGTGACTGCTTTCCGCCATCAATCTAAGGTTTTGGGCAGTGGCGAATATCAAAATTCTTGGTAGTTCCGGTAGCAAATGCTTGCTATCATATTGAAGGAATGGCAACCCCGAACATGTTTTTCTATAGATATCAGGTAAATCTAGATCATAAATGTTTGTCGGGGTAGGTAATGGAGAACTCATGAGCGATCTAGCTCGCTGGATGGTTCGTTTTATTGATGTGATGGGCGGAAGGGCAGCATGAAGGGATGGGGAACCCTCTGCTATTGCAATGCTTATAATTTTTTGAGGTGTATCAGTCACCTCAATAGCCCGTTTTTTAATGTTATTTAGGCATTCGGTTTTTAAGACCTTTATACCATCTATCACATGATTATGATTATCAATATGAAGAATTACCTCTTCATTTAATGTGTGGCATCGTCCTTTGCAACGGGTAGGTCTACTTTCCAATAATTTATAAGCCTCTACACATTTCCATATTGTTTTTTGATTTATAATTCTTTCTTTCCTGAATATGTATTGATCATGAACTAATTGTTTTGATCCACGTTCACTTATGACATAATTTAAAGGCATTCTTAAAAATAAAAGTAAACTATAATATAAAAAATTATAAATGATATACAAAAATAAGATTATTAATATTTACCTTTAAATAGGAATTCTCAATTTACAATGATTAAATTATGGAAAATAAAGATTAAATTACGGAAGGAAATGAAAAATATTAAAGTTTTTTTTACAGACTTTTAAAATGAAAAAAAAGGACAAAATTTTAAGATAAATAATTCTATTTATTAATTTGTTGTTCTTAAGTTAGGCGGGGAAAAAAAGAAAAAGGAGATTTGGATTTTATGTTTAATTTAGATTATAAAATTTATTGAGAAAAATAACGATTGAATTCTTTAAAATTATTGAACAAAAGGAATAAATCCGAAAATAAAATATATATTAATTTATTTTTGTTTCTAAAAATAGGCGGGAACAAGGGGAATTAAGATTTAACATAATTTTGAATCCGAAAATAAAATATATATTTATATATTTTTGTTGTCTAAAAATAGGAGGGAAAAAGGGGAATTAAGATTTAACATAATTTTGAATCTAGGAAATTTATTCCCCGGAAAAAAAATCCCCGGAAGATTAATCCCCGTAAAAAAAATCCCATGGAAAAAAATTCCCGGGAAAATAATCTCCTAATTTTTGATCCATATAAAATATTAAATTATTTTTAGAAAATTAACAAAATAGGAAAAAAAATCGCCCAAAAAAATCTTCGGAAAGAAATAATTATTAAAAATTTTATTTAAGAAATAAAATATTGATGAAGTTTTTATAATTTGGGAAAGTTTTATGAGTATTTATTATATCCAGAAATTTAGAGTTAGCAGGGCTTGCTAAACCATACACGTCAATTATGGCAGTTAATAATGAAAAAAATACAAAATGTTTATCGAGATAAAGGTTCACGCAAAATCTCCAGGCTTACATAATATTGCCTACTAATCAGGGGCTTGGCAAACCACTTAATCTCTTCTTAAAATTAATTACAACAGAAGGTTAAAATTTTATTATAATATAGTTTTATTAGTTTACGTCTATAGACAAAAAATCTTTTGAAATAATTATTAAAAATTTTATTTAAGAAATAAAATATTGATAAAATTTTCAAAAGATTTTTACATGACAGAAATTTTATTAAAATATATAATCATTTATATGTAAATTAAATTTTATAGCAAAGTTTAAACACTCTTCTATAATTTGGGAAAGTTTTATGAGTATTTATTATATCTAGAAATTTAGAGCTAGCAGGGCTTGCTAAACCATACACGTCAATTATGGCAGTTAATAAAAAAAATTACAAAATCTTGAAAAGGCAATTTCATGGCTGTTTATGATTGGTATTTAGGATTTATGCTAAGAAATCATAATATCTCCTTTATGTCCAAAATGTTTATTAAATTAACCTAAATTAAGTTTCAATTTTTATATATAATTTGCTTCAATTTATAAGTATTATGATATTTTTAACAATAAAACAATAAAATTATTCTATCCGTATCATTATTAATAAATAAAAATGCATTTCAATTTATTATGGCTAAAAAAACCAATGATTTAGGAAGCCCCTTGAATTTGCCTCACCCGGCTATTGGGGCTTTTTGGATATTATTTTTACTTTTTCAAAAAGTAAAATTTAAAAAAAATGATTATATTCTTAAAATTTTTATAAGGTACCTTTATAGAGTATAGTTTTAGGAGGTATCTAATCATATATTATTTTTTATATTATCTAAAAAAATCAGAAGATAAATTTTGTAAAAATCGGTTCGACTAACCCCAGACTACCCTACCTTATAATGTGGTAAATTGGTCCAGCAAGGAAATCGGTATAAATATTGGTTATTAATTTTTTTTATATCCTACACATTTAGTAAATAAAATTGAGATTTTTGTAAAAAAAAATACGAAGAAATAATTAATATGACCAACATTCAAAATCTTTTCTTAATCATCCTTTTTTGTATACTAATAAATTTATAATAAATTGCAACTGTATTAGATACGCGCCGAATTGACGCCGCGCCGAATCGACGTTGCGCCGAATTTCGCCGCGCTGAATTGACGATGCGCCGAATTGACGTTGCGCCGAGTTGTCGCCGTGCTGAATTGACGTTGCGCCGAGTTGTCGCCGCGCTGAATTGACGATGCGCCGAATTGTCGCCGCGCCTAGTTTTCTGCGCCGAATTGTCGTGCGCCGAATTTTCCGCGCCTAATTGACGTGTTACCCATTTAAAAGTATACCATTAAAATTTTTATAACTTTAAATTAGATGCACATTTAAAGAGATCAATTTACCAGGTTGTAGTTAATCAGATCAATCAATATATAATGAGCGGAAAAAGTATTTAATCCAATGAGATCATTTAGTTTTTATAAATTAATGAAATCCAAAATATTTTCTTATACACATATCTAAAAAAATTCTATTCTTTTTCTGCTGGACATTTAACAAGTTTGAAATAATAGACTTTAAGTTTAAAATGTTTCCAATGAAAGAATACACTAAGCTTAAAAGTGATGACACCACATCCTATTTTCGACCCTACTTCACATTATGAAAAAGCTCTGTAAAAGCAACCTAGGTTCTTGTAACTCGTCAATAACCACTTATTCAAATATCTAGTAATCTTTAAAGTCGATTTAAAACAACTTCCGTCATGATAATGCCTTTGAATATGCTCGAAACTCACCAAAACGATGTTTAAAGATATTTACCAACGTAAAAATAAATTCTTCTTGAATACGAATGTCCAATACAGATAAATCGAGCGTCTCACTTTCCTCACGGTACATGTTTACTATCGATATTTTAAGTTTGAAATGATATTATAAGGTATTATGCTATAAAAGTTGAATATGCCCAATATTATTTTTTTTATCTAAACTATTAAAATATAATGATAAACGAGTGCCAATTTTGTAAGACTATAAAATAAAATTGATCCTATTGTATAATGGATTAATATTGTGTTCCCTAAAATTTAATTAGTACAACATAATAAGACAGGGTTTGCCAAATAAGAATCTAAAGAATTAACTTTATTAACTTAATATTATACAAAAGAACAGCAATTACAAAATTAAAAACTTTAATTTAATTTTATTTAAAGGTGAAAAGTTAATAACAATTTTTTAAAACAATCGCGCTATATATATTAGTTTTTTTTATATATTGGCAAGAAACCAACATTTTTTCTTCTTTAATTTCGTTTAATATAACTATTGAATTTTTTTTATTAAAAAATTAATATATATATTAAAAATTTACATATAAAATTTAATAAAATCTATGTTAAAAAAGAACATGAAAATTATTTTAAAAAAATAATAAATATATAAAATTTTAAAAAAATTCAAAAAGGAATTTTTAACAATTTTTAATCGACCTTTCTTTTTTTCATTTTCAATTAACTCTACCAAAATAAAATTCACATACAAAACTTTTTTGTCGATGATAATAACGACATTCTTTTCCTTAATGTTTATCATAAGGCCCCGTATTTGTTCCTTGTTGATTCATTATATGTGGTACCCCCCCCCCTCCTCCATTACCGATTCATTGTTTATTGCCATCACAATCAACTTTTAAATCTAAGTTTTGCCGATAACCGCGTGGAGTATAGTTGATTATTATTCCAATATTTAAGTTAAAAATGAGTAAATTCAGGGGAGATCTAAGTTTGAAGCGAGAACGGAACGGGAAAGGTGATTTAGAAACAGTTCCATAAGATTTATTACATAGTTATAAATATAATATTTACACATAATAATATACTATTTTCCAATGTCATTTGCCGATCATGAATTGGAGTGCTTCACTTGACATTTAAATTTGTTGTGAGTGGATTTGAAATATAATTTCCACTAAATATATAAATAAAAACTTGATTTAAAAATATAAATTATAGGCCATGTTGTCAATTTTGGGCTATTTTAATAATTTTTGTTATATATGCATCATATGATATTAGCATATTTTATAATTACCCGTTGGGCACCTTTTTTAAATTTTATAAAAAAAATTACATTAAAATATATATTGGAAAAAATTATCAGTTAAATATTGGCATAATTTTTTAAAGTACTCATTTTGCTCTAATTACATTTTGATTATATATAAAATTCTCACCAAAAATTTTTGAGTAAATTTTTTCGAGGCTATCATTTGGAAAAATTTTTAATTTTTTACTTATATTAATCAATAAGTTTTTCTTATATTTGAATCTAAACTAATAAATTTTGACTATTGTTATAAAAATTAAGTGTTGAAAGATGTTATTCAACGGGCAATGGCATGTGTCGAACGTTATTGATTTTTCATATATTTTTATAAAAAATTTAAACAATCAGAAATTATTCTTATATACAAAGAAAGATTGTTTTAAGTAGAGTACAACTCAGACACTGGAAACCTTGATTAGGAATCACTCATAGCTTCGATCTCTATTGGAATTTAGGTAGAACTTGTTTTTTTCTGAAGTCAAGCTAGGTATTTCCGTGCCATTAGGTAGTAAATTAAAATCCAGAGAATAATTTGAACGAAGTATCCATCCTTTAATATATGTATATTAAAAATGGTTCTTATAGCATTTTAATAAAAATTTTGCTTTGCTTATCAAATTTCCTCGATTTTGAAATACACATTTCCTTGGTCGGACGGAAACGGAACACAATATTTCTTTTGTTAAGGGGTCCATGGTAAAAATGTAACTTCCACCAAAAGCCATTTAATTATCAAATTTTATTGTTTCATATTTTTATAATTCAAAAAACATTTTATCCAATGGATATTTCCTTTCCGATAATTTTTTTTATCTAATCAATAATATTTAAAAATATTTATGCAAAAATATTGGTTCACAATCTAATTAAAAAACCACAATTTAATAAATCTTGTGATAATTATAATTTGGAATGGAACATTCACTATAACCTTGAACGGAATTTATGATTATTTATCTAGATATTTTGATATAAAACCAGCCCATATTTACTTTTTCGATGAAAAAATTTATTTAATATTAATAGATTTTTTTCTTATCTAATTATTCATTTTTGCATTACAGATCAAAAACTAATTTTGGAAATTTTACAAAAAAAAACAGAAATCTAAACATACAAATTTCGATTATCCAGATGAAAAGAATATTTATCTCAAGTAAAATGATTTTTATATTGTTATTTATTTGTGGGTAAAGTTAAACAATTTTGAGAAAATAGGGACTTTTAACATTGATTAGCAGTTCCATAGAAGTAGAATAATTTTAATCAACATTAAAATGGATGGATAAATAAGATGACATTTTACGAAACTAATTTATAAAGAGCTATTTTTAAAAAAATTGTTGTAATTTTTTTTCAGGTGCATTCTTGTTAGCTTTTTGGGGAGTATCATTTACCCAAATGCAAGACGTACATTTTACCGATGAATACAAAGAAGTCATCGACGCCAATTGGAAGATAGCCATAGATTTATACAAGTTTGAATATTTTTTTTCCCTTCGCTCTCAATCAGAAAATGAGTAGTATGTCGTAGGGTTATAGTAAAATCCAGGACTGCGCTTTATTAATGGAAAGAAGGGAAGGGAGGTCACTTAAATTTTTTATAGCGTAATTTTTTTCTCTTAAGTTTTGAAAGATCCGATTTCATCGGAATTGTATTCCAATATGCATAGAGTATACTTACACATTCAGACAATTTAACCAATAATTTTTATGACCGCGCCCCTGTTCGTCTTATTTTTGAAACTTATATCTGTTTAGCACAGGGCTAAAAATTTAGAACTAGGACACCCTATTTTGGGTTTGTTTTAATTGTGTACATTAATTAAATATTATTTGTTATTTATATATTTTCTCGACAATATTTTTTATTTAAAATGATGATTTAACGTTGAATAAGAGAATATTTCTTTTTTTGGGGCTGTTTAGAGGAAGCTAATAAGAAGGTTAAACATAATACATATGGCCGTTTAGAAATGACACGACCTATGTTTTTTTTAAACAAAATTTATAATCAAAAAATATGAATATAAAAAAAATTGATCTAAATTTGAAAGAGTTCAAAGGTTTTATGACAGAATTGTTTGAAATTGCAGGGTACTCCATACATATTGAAATACAACTCTGATAAAATAAGGTAGATTAAAAGAAATCACATGATATGAAATGATATAAGTTTTATAAATTTGTTAAAGAAAATTTCGGTGTATAAAAAATAACCTTAAAATTTGATTATTTTGAAATCTTTATAAGGCTAAAACTTCTCATTCTTGTTTTTTTTATGAAATCTGTATTTTATTTAAATAAAGAATATAATATTCTTTAATAAATTATGGAATTTGATTATTAAAGAAAACTAGAGGTACGTTTTCTAGTCTAGGGGCAGAAATAAAAAAAACACACGAACATAACTACCATGCTCGAAAATTTAATTTCGTAATCTGACAGCGGCAGTTATTGTGTTTTTTGGTATTACAATTATGATTAAAAAGTTAAAAATTCGATAAAATCCCAAGGACCCGGAGTAAACCTAACCTAACTGTTATACCAGAGATAACCTTTATAATTTTTTGAACTCTAGCCGTAATTTATATTCTAAATCGTTAAAAGGAGCGAACCAAACCTTTGTAATTTTTTATACCGGGTTAAAATCGTTTTGATATATATATCTCTAGCATTGAAGAGTGTCAAAGTTTATATAAATATTTAAAGGGCCCAAAGGAATCTAATATTAAATTATTTGATTTTTTTCAGAGATTGTCTAGAAATATTGATCTAAAAATTATATCTATTTTTTTTAAATGAATATAAATAAAATAATTTATAATTTAAAATTTGTTATGTTGTGGTCATCCCATCCCGTAAAATAAAACTTATCTGGTATGTTTTTGTAATGGAATAAGCTCCGACATATTATTAAATGACTATTTTTTTGAATCTATTTTTAATAATAAATTTTTAGAAATTTTAAATAAAAATTATAATTATAAATTAGTATAATTTAATTTAATAAAATATATATATAACATTAATAATTTAAGTAAGCGAAAATTTGTGAATTCTTCACCTAAAAAGTAGTATTGACTTTTCTTTGATGGCCACTGATCTTCTGGACTTCTGCGCATCTTTATTCACGTTTTTCTGTCTTTTATCGCTTGAGATCTAAGTTCCTTTTTAGCGTCAACGTTATAATTAGGAGCAAAATAGCCTAAGCATATCCTATGCATATAATGTTCTATTAGGGGGTTTCGATCATTGAAAGTTAAAGCTGAGATGATTGCCCTTTATTATGTTTAGGGCCAACCTCTGACGCAGGTAGTATCCCTTGTTGGGATCCTCGGTCTTAACAGAGATCCCGTGCCCCAGCTCTTTAAAAAAGGCCAGGGCATGAGAGCCTAACGATATTAAAATCGTAGCGATTAATGGTAGGAATGCATAGTTGACAGGTAGCTATGGCGAATATTTAGAGAATTTATTCTGAGCTTCCAGTGGAGCATCCCTATTTATATTGAAAGGGGTAAAAGGATCGATGCATGAAAAATCCAAGGTTAGGAATTCCCCCCTCTTCCAGGAGATTATGGTAGAATTATCAGGCCATTTACTATCAAAATTGTAAAGGCCAGTGGGCTAGGGGTTGATGGGATCCCAAGAATTATAAAAATCACCCTCTAGTTTTTATTATTTAGACACAGAAATTTAAAAAAATTTGTATACATGTTCCTTAAAGTCGTAGCCATAAAATGAAATTTATCGGAAATTTATAGCTTGACTAGAAGTCAGCAATAACGATTTACACAATATATATATCACCTTGAGGTAAGGTTGCTATGGGTAAAACGGTTAAAATATTCCATCTGATTTAAGCTGTAAAAAAATATTTTTTAATTATTAACATCTATACTATATACATTTGTACTACTATGAACATTAATAAATTGTGTGTGTTCTTTGGAATAAATTTTGAATTGTTTGTGTGTTCTTTGGAATAAAATTTTATGAATAGTCGCAAAGGGGAAGAATAATTGAAATGCATGATGTGCCTAAAATAGGCAAAATGATTAAAAGTGATGAATAGATGTCAAAATTGCAATATTTTGTCCAATTTAACACTATAAAATTATGTTTAACCACTTTGCCTTGATGCTTGTCCACTTTAACCAAGGTATACAGTAAAATGGGGAAGATGGCATACTTCCCATAATTAATAACAGCTTCAAAAGTATTCTAGGTAGAGAGCTACACTTTTTTTATTTTGTAGATGAGGGATTTGACAACATATAAAAATAATTTGTTCCGTATTGTTAATTTTTCAAAATATTATGGTAAAAGTGCAAAATACCAATCGTTTTCGGTCTCCCTTACATATACTTTTTATAAGTGTATCAAGGTACCTATACCATATTTTTTATCTAAATACTTTAACAACTCTTGTTGAATATGTTTTTAAAGATTCTAAATCAAACATTATTAGAAAAAACTTTGAATATTTCTTGTATTTGAAGCGTTGCAGGGTAAGTTTGTCAAAATCTTAGCCTCATATTAAATTTTAAAAAATGAACATATTCGAAATAGAAATAGGGGAGACCGGGGTTATATTGTCCATAAAAAATTGAGAGGCTGTGTAAAGGAGGAGAAATAATTTATCAAAATAATTTTGATGTTATTTTATTCTTTATATAATTATCTACGGTAGAAATTAATATCTAATAAAAAAATATTATATATTTTTTTAAATTTAAATTTTAAAAAAATGAAAATTTTTGAGTTTTGTGGGGCATGTTTTAGACTATGATTTTCTAAGCATTTTATTCATATAAAAATCATAACAAACATATAATATTAACATACAACACATTTATTACATATAAAAAATGGATTAAAATAACAACATGATCCATGTGCCCATAAATGACAATCCAATCTTCATTATGGTGGTGAGTTTGATAGTTTTTGTGGCACACTAAACAAAATTCTTTTTTGCCAGCATTCATATTTAAACTTTTTTTATTATTGGTTTGATTTTTTTTTTCAGATTATTAGCCCTAGATCTGGCTATTTTTTTGTAAGGTGAAGAGGGGAGGGAGAGTCAATAGAACTATACCACTGTCAGAGCCCAGCTCAATGACTTCAATAGATTGGTGAGATTTATGATTATCTAATATAAGCAAAACTTTTTTATCTTGACTGGGCTTAGTGTATTTTATAAAATGATTTTAAAAATATATAAAATCTTCAGCCAGCATCCACCCAGAACCATTAGACACGCCAATGCATCCTACAGGGCCATCTCTTAAATAATGATCATAAAATTTTTTCCTGGGATATATAAACATAGGTGGAATAGAATTTCCTAGAGCATTGACAGCAATTGCCAAGGTCATAAGTGTACCACATTCTGATGTAGTAATTGCCACAACCTGTTTTTCGCCTTTCCTTGCAATAACTTTATTAGGCCGTTGAACTGTTGTTAATCCTATGAAAATATTAAAGATTTACTATCATATATATTTTAATTAACCAGTTTCATCCATATTATATATATCACATGGTAGAAAGTTATTTTCCCTTGTGACAGTCAAATAATTATTAAAAAATAAATCAACCATTTTCATATTAAAATTGGTAGCCCTGGCTATACTTGTAGCCACTGGTGTTCTCAAAGAAATAGTTGGATTTCTTTTAATAAATGCTCCAACCCAGTCTTCACCAGCTGATTGAGTTATTTCCCAAGATTTTGGTATTGTAAACTATACCTCTTGGCCATTTGATAAGCTAAAACTCTAACCTACATTTAAACATAAGTCATTAAATTATTTATATATTAAGGCAATCTAATTAAAATCCTAATTCTTAAATTTTATTCTGAATTTATTTAATAATTAATATAATAAAATATATCATACATAATTAAACCTCTAATGTATAGGTAAGAACCAAAATATGTTTTAATGCATGATATAATTTAATGCTAAACCAATGAATAAATCATTTTAAAATTAATATACATGGCAGCATCATTTTATTTTAAATATATATCATACACACATAATTAAATCTTTAATATATAGGTAAGATATGATTTAATGCATGATATAATATATATAATGCTACATTGAATAAATCATTTTAAAATTAATATTAATACATGGCAGCATCATTTTAAAATTAATATATATAGATGGCAGCATCATTTTATACATAAATGGCAGCAACATTTTATTTACATATATATCATACACACTTAAATAAATATCATTCTAATGTATAAGTTAAATTCTTACTTTAAAGTATTTTAAAATTAATAAAGATGTTTCATTAACATATAATGTAAATAATTTTAAAAAATTTTCTCAAGTTTATTATTATTTAACTAAAAAAATACCATGGCATAAATTTAAAGATTATAAAAAAAATCATTTTACAGAGATATATGATATAACAAAGGATTAAAATACTTGATTAGGGCATAATCCTGAAAATAATCTTGATCCTTTAATTAAATAATCTGTTAATTTAGCTTCTTGAATAGGAGAAAATACTGATCTGTGAATATATCGCTCTTGAAAATCTTCATTTCTTTTGAACAATTTATTATACCCCTAATGCTTAGTTTCTTAAATATATACTAATTTAAATATATAAATATACTTCCCATAACTTAAATTCGTATTCATGGTTATAACTGTCAAAGGTATCTTATATTTCAGCATTTGAAGAATACTTGCCTTTTGATTATCATTATTTTCTTTGTTAGTTTTTCTAATATATGTTCGAACCATTTTACAAAAACAGAACCAATATTTTAATGAATGTATGTAAAAGGAAAAGACGCACCCCGCTAATACCTTCCCCAGGTCCACAGGATCATTTAAAAATTAAATTTAGAATATTAAATTAACATAATGATTGTCAATATTTTTATATATGATAAAATGGAGATTTTTTTATCATTTAGAATTTATATTAAGTCTGAACAACTTTTATAAAAAAAGTTATTCGTGAAAATGTAAAATTTAAAAAAGTTACTTTGGGTATGTTGAAACTTAAATTTGCATTTAAAATTTTTCATGAGCAATTTTGTCCGAAACAATTTTGGACCTACTTAAGCACTTTATTATAATACATATTTGGCTTAAATTACAAATCTTAAACTTTATTAATTTTTAAATTATTTGAGAAGGAAATACCTACCCCGGGAACACACTATCCCCGGTCTCCCCACATCTGATATTGAATATAAAAATTTTATAGGAGATTAGCTGAAACCTTTAAAGGAAAAAGTATTTTCTTCTCACCTCAATGCGTTACATCGTCACTCATGCTTCTTTACGCCGGAGTTAGGAAAGAGACAGCGACTCAAATATTAAAGGTATTAGGATTTACTAAAGAGATTAACAGCAAGCATCATGATATACAGGACATCTTGTTCAAAAATAATACAAACAGTTCTGAAAGTATGTTTTATCGTGTTAAGGCAATATTCTTACAAAATGGCGCAAATGTAGAATACCAAATTAAAAATTTAACCATACAACACTATCAAACTAAAATTGAAATGATGGATTTTGATAAAAACCCTAAAGGATCCGTCGAAAAGATTAATAAATGGGTGGCTACCCATTCGAATGATCAAATGAAAGATTTGATTTTCAAGGATGTTACCATATACACCAATTTTTTGTTGGTTTCGGCTATTGAATTTCAGGTTTCATAATTTATAGTTTTTTCTTTTTAGTTTTTTTTTACTATAGAATAAATTATGCCGTCTCTTAAGAAATGTTTTGATTTTTGATATAATATTATATCGTCTTTTTTTCTGTATTTTAAGAAATAAATTATTTCAAAAAGTTTTTGTAGAATAATAAAACTTTATTTGTAATTAATATTATAATGGAATAAGAAGTTTATATAGTATATAAGTTATATATGGGATTAACTGATTATTGTAATATGTCTCAAAATCTGAACGTATATATATATTTGTAGAATTATATAATTATGGTAAATGGTGTTTTAACTTTTATATTGGATACAAGTAAAATATATTGAATATGTAATATGTTCGATTAAAATTATGATTATAGTATGTCCTGAAGTCTTAATTTTTTTTAAAGATAACATTACATTTAACGATGATTGGTATTATATAGTATTACTGCAGTTTTATACTATAAAATATATGATCGCTTGAGTAATATTTTACTCCTGAATATTACACAATGAGCTCAACAGATTAAAATTAGTTTTTTCTAGATAAACTCTTTATTTAATATTATAATGATTAATGAAAATATTTAATTTGGGAAAAAATTACAGAAACTTAGACTACTACGTAATTTAGTTGTAAATGATGAAACACTATAATAATTAACAAATAAAATATTTAGGAAAAACCAGAGTGTGTTGGAATCCGTCCGAACCACTAAGCCCGTTCGAGTAAAGCTGGGTTCGGGCCGGGCCTATCAAATCTTTAAATAAAACTACTATTTTCAAATAAGGTTTAAAATATCGTTGAAAAAATAGAACTTGATTATTTAAAAAAAAATATTTTGGAAAATATGGGCCCTTATTAAATAAGGTAACTCACCAGCCTCAGTCTCCCATATAATTTATATCTTACGAATAAGTGCATTATAGGGCTCAAAATGAGAGTTTAATATTAAAACTATAGTCCTACAAAATTAATTTCTTTGGACCGGACCCGTTAGAGGAAAAATTATAAAATTTTTGATCAAATGCAGTTATTATATTTCATAATCTATGTAAATGACGCTAGAAACAAATAGTCCTTCTTACATTTAAAATAAAATAAAGATATAAATAAGTATAAGTGATCTACAATATTATGGTCTTGTCAAATTTTTTTCAAAAATTATCAGATAGTTCATTTCACTCCAACACTAAATCCATATTCAAAAATTGATGTGGTATTAAATTAGTTCTATTAATATTAGTTTGAATAAAAGAATTTAGATCTGATATATTATAGATTAAATATTTAAATTTTTAAATAAAATTCCAAACCTCAATGAAAACTCATGATCACAACCCTGCATATATCTATATCTATTACACATTACTTAAAATTAAAATTTTAGGTTACCTTTTTTTTAAATTAAATTTTGATATGTACCACACAAGGCTAAATGGAATCATTTGATCTTTCCTAAAGATACAACTCTAAAAGCGTTCAACGGTATAGCCGGACCAACCAAGCCTATTCCAATGATGACCTTTAATGGAACTATAATGTATTTTATTGATCCTCTCGGCAAAGTTCAAGTTATGGAATTGCCTTATTTGGTAGATAATATAGGAGCTTACATAATCCTACCAAGTTCTGAATCTAATATCACGAATGTGGAAAGTAAATTGACAACGATGGGAGTCAGGTCTATCCTTACTCGCCTAATCCCCACAAATGTCAAAGTAATCTTACCAAAATTAGCTTTCAAATTAAATTACGATTTGGCCCCACAACTTCGTGAGATGGGAATGCCATTCATGTTCGATAAGCGCAAAGGTAAATTTTAATTCAAAATTCTCTCTTTTAACAATTCCTCCTGTCATTTAACATTGTATATTAAAAATTTAGGCAACGTGACCCTTGCAGAAATAGTCACAAGCTTTATGTTACCTTTAAACAACTTTTACCATCAATCAACAACCAGTTTTCAAGACGATGGAAAATTACTGGGTCAAGAAATGGCAGTTCCTTCGGGACTATCAAATATCTCCCCTCAAATTTTCAAGGCAGACAGACCATTTTTATTTTGCATTGTTTCTAAAAACACTCAAATTCCTATATTCATTGGGCGATATATGGGAGAGTAGTTTATATAATATTGATATAAAATGTTATTTTAGACTATTACTGTAATTCCATGTTACTTTTACTTATAATTATAATATTTCCATATTCTATATTATATTATGCTTAATTTATTATTTACTATAATTTAGAAAATATGTCATACTATAATTTTAGCAATCGCTTCTTATAATATTGTTGTTCCTTTATCGGAACACGGGGAACTTAAATATCTTACAAAGGGTAAATTTTTTTGATATTATTTTCAAATAACATTCATATAATATCAACATAAAACATAAATTACATAACTTTTATCTATTAACGTATAATATGATATATTCTAAAACAAGTTTCATATAGATTTTAGCTTCTAATAATCTATGGAAAAAAATAACCCCTAAAAATGTAGGCCCTTAGATAAACTTTTGGCTCCCTCGCCTCCCCCTCCCATAAGTAAAATTTCTTGGCTATCTGGGTTCACCACACCACTTTTTTTGCATGTCTTTCATCTATTTTTTTAAAGTATGATGCACATCAATTTGACTTTCTGATATAATACTACAATTATCCATTCTATCATATTTTATATTCTCTGGCACTCTGTACTAGAGATCGGCCATAGGCGGATAGCGCGCAAGCTGGCCCGTTAAATATTTTAAAAGATTTAACCCCCCCGCCAAACCAGCTAATATTTTTTATAAAAATATACCCGCCATTTAGTCTAAAATTCTTTGCCCGCCCGCCCATTTGTCTAACATTTTCACTCGCCCGCCCATATTAAAATTTTTTTAACCCACACCGTCAACCTAAAATTTCAATAAGTTCATCTTTCAATTTTTTCAAGCATCTATTAAAACAAAATCCTTTATTTAGCGCTATATCCAGGTGCGTAGCCAGGCAAAATGCAAACATTTTTTTTGAAAATAAAGGCGCGTTGCCAGTAGGGAGAGGGGAACTCCCCTCCCCAGATTCACCTAACTTAGCGATGTCTGATTCTTGTTCTCAGCCCTAAGAAATTGCTTAAGTATAATTCTTTTTAATTTATATTAACAACTATGATTGTGTAAATTTTCTAGGGTGTACGAAATATTCCTCCAAAGAAATAAAATTTATTTGTTTAATAGATTTATTTTTGAGCTTCTTGTACTACAAGAAAAAAGAGCAAGCCCAACCAGATGGAGTCTACTACATCAAGCGGTTACCTCATTTTTGAATCTAGAAGGGCTTATGTTGAGTGCCTTTGGAGAAATATCGGAATGGTCTGAATCTAACATTTCATCTGAAGCAGTTACTTTTTGGATTCAGTAACAGAACCAGTTCTTTTTTGTAATGGAATGTAAAAATAAGTTATTTAAAAACACAACAATTTTGTGCAATATTTTTCAAAAGAATAGTAGTAATATATCAGAAAATAATGGGTTAGCATTACTTAATATTCATCGAGATTCTTAAGCAGAGAAAAAATTATTCAAAAATTGATGCAATCACAAAGACGATTAAATTTTCACTTATGAACCATATATAACATTTTAAATAAATAAATTTTGTATGATGATTAGTTGCAATAAAAAATTTTAATGTTCCAAAAAAATTAATTTCAATAGTAAAATAATTATTCGCCCTCCCTAAAGAATTAAAACGTTTTTTTCTTAGTCTAGTTCATAAAATATTATGTTTAAATTTCCTGGTTCGGTTAATAATATTTTCTTTATGAAGGAAAAAATAATAATTCAAAATCCCAGGTCGACCGAAAAATATTTTATACAAGTTGCCCTAAATTTCACACAATATGTTTTATTCACAAATATTTAAAATGAAAATTGCCTTTAACAAAGTACTCTGCTTTTTGCAATTTCATAATGTCCCTTATTTAGATCTAGGTAAAAAAAAGAGACTCTAAGTGTTTGAATGGACTAGATGACCAAAGCCTTCAGCACACTTTTGATGGTATTTCTCGATAAGCTAAGATCCTACTTAGTCAATATTAAAATTACAAACAAATTTATAAATATTATGTGTATTGAGAGTCTTCCTTGTCAGCAATTATTTTACCTTAATAAAAAAAAATACCTCTTTTTTTAAACTAAATTTCTCATACATATTTTGGACTTTGCAGGTCTTGATAACTCCTCCATAAACGATTGCAGTTGAATCTTTTCTTAAGAAGAAGAGTTAAAATTGTATAACAAGGTTTAGGAGAAAGAGAAGGAGCAAGGGATCTCTCTTAATTACTCTACTGGGACAAAGAATTCTGGTAAAAATAACTTGGGAAAAAGTGATCGGAATATTATATATGTAGTATTTAAATATTGAACTTGCTGGAATTCCGAATCTATCAATTTTTAATTATTTACTGAAAGTAATTTTTAATTCTGATTTAACAGGAAATATATTTCAGTAGATATAAAGTTATCCTATATATTTTTGACCATTTTTTCCTCGAACATTTGTGTATATTTTGATGAAACTTTCACTCTATGACAATTTCTCAATAAATAATTAAGAATAATAATTCTTTTAAAACTAATCCATTATTTTGGGTTAATTTTTTTTATTTCCAAAATATAATATACAATTCTTTATTTGCTTAAAGCCATATGAAATTTAATTTTAAAGAAATCCAACAGGTATCAGGTAATTGGGCTTTCTTTTAGGGATGTGATCCCAAGTTAGTATTTAGAAATTTAAGAATGTTTGGTTAGCCCGTTTGCCACCAGAGATCACCCAGGGATCTATTTATGGATTATCAATCGAACCCGGGGTAATATAGACTAGGGACGGGTTTATAGCCCTTTCAGAAAATCGGTTCTGTGATAAAGATGTAGTTATCGAAATTTTCGATAAATAGAGTTGAAATTCGGGTAATCTTTTGTTAAAATTTACCAATAAATTTTGTATAAATAATTTTAATTTGGAACACTCATATATAGCCCGGGAATGATAATTATCTGGATTAAAAAATTTTTTTTAATTAAAATTAATAATAATTATTAAAAGCATAAGATGAAAATCATCATTTATAATATATTACCTGATTTTTTAAATAAAATTATAAAGGTTATATTAAATATTTAAAAATAGAATATGCATTTATAATATTGTGCTGACACATCCAATAAAAATACTTTATTATAATTGATTCATCATATCTAATTATTCATATTTTTTTAAATTTTTTTTACAAATAATTATTCTTGATATTAATTTTTTTTTCTTAAACATTTTTCAAAATATTCTCCAGATGAAGGAATTATTTTTTTCAAGTAAAATATTGTCATAAATTATTGTAAGATAAATTTTAAAAACATCTTGAAAAAAGTAGCATGCATGTAAGAAAGTATGCCAACCATTTATAATTCATCTTCATAAAACTAGAGATAATTTGACTAATAAAAAAAGTAGTTAAGATGGGATGGATTCTTTCAAAATAAATTTTTCAGTATAAAAATATCGAAAACCAATTTATAAAAGTCATTTTTATGTTTATATTTCTTTAAGGTGTCTTTTTGGTGGCGTTTTGGGGAACCTCATTTATCCAAACACAGCTCGTAAATCCTACTGTTGAGTCCAAAGAAGTTACCGATGCTAATTGGAAGATAGCCATCGATTTATACAAGTTTAAATATCTTTTCTTTTTACGTTAGAAAATGTACATTAACATAACAGTCAAATCGGCGCAATCAGTCAAAACGCATAATATCTTATAAAATTTATCTGAAATCTATAGGGTAGACATTTTAACACTTGATGGAATACATTTCCTAATAGCTTATTTACATTTACAAAACGCGTTAAAATAAATGATTTAAAGTTGTTAAATAGCGTTTTATTTGTTTAAAGACTTTTTATATTTTAATAATCCGCTTTTTTACAAAATTCTCCTTCAATTTTAATGATGATCATGCATCATTAGCTTCCCCCCTCCCCCCATGGCGAAGGAAGGCACTGGAATAAGTAAGAAACATTAATCATTATAAAATATTATACAAGTTTCTTAAAAAGGGGTGGGGGGAGGGTGGAGAAAATTTTTAGATACCACTACCCCAAATAAATTTTATCGGCCGGAGAACGTTAGACTATTATTTTTGACTGGTTTACATTTTTTTAAGGATAATTACGGTTTACATCTTTTTTTTCTGAAAATTTTTAATTAAAGAAATTATTGTTTATAATGAGATCTTATTTATTTTTTAGAAGAGAGAGTCTTGGTGGCTATGCCTATGATTTGGTTTAATGGCTGAAATTTTAAAAATAATAAATAAACTTTAAAAAATTTTAAAATATATATGAAAAAATTAATATTAAACAATAATATCTATTATTCGAATAGTGTAATTAAATGAATATATTCAAATAATAAGTGTTTTATATCTCATTGTGACCAAATATACAAATAAAAGTTACTAAAAATATTTTATATAAAAAGAATTAAAATTAAACTAATTTAAATAAGTTATACAATCATATTTTATTTACAAAGTATATAGCCAAATTATAAAAAAAAGAAAAATTATATATAAAAATTTGATCATTAAAAACTAAAAATGTCTATGAATTTCTTAATAATTTGATCCCGAATATATCCATCCAAATTGAATAATTTAATAAATTTACATAAACTACAAAATATAAATGATAATAATCAAAATAAACATGAAAATTCTCTAAGTATATTAAACTATCACAACAGTAAGAATATATAAAAATCAGTGACCTGCAGGCCCAGCCGGGGTTTTTTTAAAAAATACCGAGGGAGATCCAGGCCTAAAAATTTTCTTAAAAAAATATCGGGATAGGATCGAATAGTTTAAATTGCTATTATCATCTCTAAAAATTAAAATAAAATTTTAAAATATTTTTAAAAAAATTCAAAAAAATCCGGGCATAGAAGTGCAAATGATATCTCTGCAGGTCTCTTCTAAAAGTATTTAAATCGAAAATAATAAAATATTATCCGATTCCGATTCGAATATTTGTTAGGAGCACACTATGTTCTTTTATATTGTAATTATTAAATACACGAGAATCGTCTCGCAATTCAATATTTTATCAAAAAAAAACTTTAAGTATTTCATATTCATAAATGGTCTCACAATATCTTACAAAATCCTAATTGCATTGCACATAATAATATTTTCAAATTAAAAAAACGAATGTTGACAAATTCGAACAAATCTGATTTTGTAGGAAATTAGCCGAAACTTTTAAAGAAAAGAGTATTTTCTTCTCCCCTCAATGCGTTACAACTTCACTCATGCTTCTCCACGCTGGAGCTAGAGGAGAGACAGCGACACAAATATTCGCGGCCCTAGGGTTTCCTAACGAGATTAACCACAAGCATCATGATGCGCAGGATATGTTATTCAAAAATATTTCCAACGATTCTAGAAATATGTTTTCTTTGGTTAAAGCTTTGTTCTTACAAGAAGGCTTAAAAGTGGAACCAGAATTTCAAAATATAGCCACCCAATATTATCAAGCGAAAATTGAAATGATGGATTTCAGTAAAGACCCTAAGGAATCAAGAGAGATGGCCAATAAATGGATTGCTACTCAAACGAAAAGCCAAATAATGAATTTGATCTTTAAGGATGTCACTATATACACAAAATTTATATTGGCTTCGGCTATGGAATTTCAGGTTTAAAATTTTTTGCAGTTTATGCCAACTCTTTTATAAGAGGTTTGATATAATAATGTTGATAACTCCTATTTATTTTTTAAAATTAAAATGACAAAATGAATTTCTATATTCCATTTACATAATTAGGCAAAATGGAATCGTTTGATCTCTCCAAAATATACTACTTTAAAAGTATTCAATGGTATAAGTGGGCCAACCAAACCCATTCCAATGATGACATTCAGTGGAAATATGTTTTATTTTGTTGATCCTCTCAGCAAAGCACAAGTTATAGAGGTGCCTTATCTGGGAGATAATGTTGGAGCTTATGTAATCTTACCAAGCGCTGGATCGAGCATTATGGATTTGGAGAACAGATTGGCCGCAATGGGAACCAGAGCTATGCTTACTAACTTAAGCCCCATGAACAACGTCAAAGTTATCTTACCAAAATTAGCGTTTAACTTGACTTATGATTTGGCACCCCAATTAAAGGACATGGGAATGACATACATGTTCGACAAAAGTAAATTGTTTAATTAAAAATTCTTAGTTTATTTTAAATCATATAAACTTAACTAAAAAAACACAGATAAGGCCAACTTTTCGGGAATGGTATCGGGGCCTTGGTTACCTTTAGACAACTTTTACCATCAATCAAGAACGAATTTCCAAGATGAAGGATATTTATTGGGTCCAGATATTATGGTGCCTCAGGGACCATTAAATATCCCCCCACAGATTTTCGAGGCTAACAGACCATTTTTATTTTGCGTTATTTCTAAAATGACCCAAGTTCCTCTATTTATTGGACGATATATGGGAGAATAGAATTTATTCTAATATTTAGAACTATATTTTATTTTTAATAAAAAAAATTATATAATGTTAATTAGATTATTCATATTAGTATAATAAATATTAACCTTAACCATTTTACACATTATTGGTAATAACAAAAAAATTATTGGATAATAAGATATGAGTATTTGTAGGTTTAAGAAGGATCCCAATTTTAAACTACTATATACCAGTCATTAATTTATTTTTTGTTAAATTTAAAAAATATCTACTCAATATTTAGTAACAAAAAGACTTTAACATAAATAATAAATGAAACTGTTGAAGAGTCCAAAAAGCCTGAGGACACAATTTTAAAAATGGTCAATGTCTAGTCTTCAGTTCATACCTTTAAAAAATTGTAAATGCTTAATATTTTATAAATCAAATAAGATATAATTTTCAAAATTTCTCTGTACAGAAACGTTTAACTTAACTTCAAAATTTCACTGTACAGAAACGTTTAACTTAACAGTATATTTTTTTTTACCCCTTTTTTTTTTGAATATATTGGTTTTATTTTTCTTTAAAACAATAAATATATAAAAAAAATATAATTGATTAATAATAATGAATTTCCACTTTTTTTTTAGTTTATATAAGATTATTTTTTTTATAAATATTAAATTATTATTTATTTTTTTTTTTACATAATAAATATTAAAAATATTTATATAATGACGTTCAAGATGACTGCGCGAAACAAAAAAAAATATTAAAAATAAAATTTCAAACAAAAATAAATATTTCATGACTCATACAAAAAAATAATAAAACTATTTATAACAATAATAAATGTCTTATTTTAATTATATTCCTGCCAAAATAAAATGTCATATTAATGACCACCATTCCTTATCATCTTGACCTTTAACATAGTTCGCTCTGCTATTAATAATACCACCCTATAAAATGATTCACCTCTTTTCAAAATACAAATTTGGTTCTTCAAAATTATTGATATATAAAATCTATTTGTCATTTCTATTGATAATCTTTTAATCTGACAGATGATGGGTTAAGAAGCAACTGCTTTTCATAGTTGCAACTAATTAGCTGTCAAAATATTAATCATCTATAAAGAAACAATTAGAAAAATTTTGTCTTAAAAATTAAATATATGCATTATAATAATTTTCTGTTTAAAATTAGATGCAATAAAAATATTTGATATTTTCATATGAATTATTTTAAAAAACGAATTATAGGATTCATATTAGTTTTAGAATAGACCTAGCAGTATGAATGGCTGGGAAACATGCAAAAAATAAGAGAAAGGTGAATTTTATAAAAGAAACAATATTATAAAAGTGAATTTATTTTAAAAAAAAACAGCAAAAATAAGAAAACCAGGAGTGCATTGCAAAATATGCAAAGTCACCCTGCTAATTTTATCTTTAGCCTCTCCAAAATTTGAGGGAGTGAGCCCACTATCATAAAATTCAATGCGTTATTTGAATCCCTTTTCTCATTATTGTTTTAAGAATTAAAATTTTTATTCACATAAAAGATAGAGAAGCTAAGTTTTATTTTAATGGGCACTTGTGCTTTATTTAAAGTATAGTGAGTTCTAGCACCAAGTAGTAGTGATAAACAGCTGCATTATTAGCTGGTTTTGAGCCAATTCTAAAAATTATAAACAAAATTTTAAACATAAACTATTATCTTACCCTCAATTGAGATTTAAACTTAAAGGATATTTCAATCTTGAAAAAAAACTTTTTTTGTTAGGATTTAGCTGATTTATTAACATTTTCAGGCAAAAAACAGTCCAGTTTTTAACAAAATCTTAGAATCAGGGACCCGAACCATTATTTATAATGGTTCAGTATGTAAAAAATTATAATGGTTATGGTTCTTAAGAAATTTATAAAGGTTCAGTTCAGCTAATTATAAAGGTTCATTACGTTTATAAATTTTTTTTTTTATTAAACCAACACCATCTCCTAATTTATTTTTATTATAAGCATCTATGAATTATATAAAAAAAAATATATAAGATTCAAAATAACTCATTTTTAAATATATTATTTGAAAGTATAAGTAATATATTTTCTAATATGAATGGATTCCTTTTTGTTCATTGTGACGATAACACAAATTTTAGCCCTGAAAAAGCCCTTCTACAGAAACTTGTGTTGCAGGAAGCGCCAGTACTATAAGAGCAAGTTTATATAATTCTGGATATTCAAATTATTTCCATTCCTAAAATATAAAAACTAAACCGCTTTTTATAAAAGTTCTTTTTACTCCTTCAAAAAATAATTATATCGGTTCAGATATTTATGATTCACTCCGGGTCTCTGGTTTTAATAGAAATTTTCAAATAGGTAAGATATTGTAATTTACTATAAAAGAAATAATAGAGATATTTTTTATCAGGTTCTTCAGTGGCCCTTTGCCAATTAACCATTTTTATTGGTAACAAATATATAAAAAGTAAATCATTAGGAACAAATTACAATAAAATATTATGAAGGCAGCATTTAAATGAAAGAAAATTCATTGAGGCAAATATTCCAAAATGTACCCCTACCTAAGACAACAATATTTAACCACCCATCATGCCTTAACAACCCCATGATACTAATTTAAAAAATCTTATGAGCCACCATTTATTACCTCAAAACAATTCTAAATTAAAACTCTTTCAAGCCTCATGACTATTTAGGCTACTATTAACAAATAATCATTAGTTGGTGATAATCAAGTTGTTACTTATTGTATTCTATATTAGCCACACAAGCATCTATAACTTCAAAATGTACTAAAATCTTGTGTGAATGAATAATCACCCTCACAATGATTTTAAATACACCATTGAAGAAAACCAATAAGTAAAAAAATGTCATTTATATGCCCATTATTAAAATTAGTCAATTCTTTGAAATTATAAATCCCCAAAAGAGAAAAATAGAAAGCAAAACAAGTCAATAGAAGATATTTAGGTTCCTTTTTTTAATTATGAAGTTTAAAAACATTTAAAAAAATAATTACAGCTAATCTAAAATGCTTGATTAGTATTGTCAAACAGCTTGTTTTCATCAAATAATATTAATGTATTTAAATTTTGTAATAGATTATGATACCTTTGTCATATGAGCAAAATCTAAAAGTTCATATATTTTTTGGCTCAAATATTGTGGTAACAATAGATATTTCTATAGGATGAAATATTAAACATAGCGAGATAAGATAAATATTAAAGTGAGATATAATAATTTTAATATCAGATGAACCCCTCCCCCAAATTATATTGGAATAGAATAGTTATGTTGTCTAAATTTTTGCAATACTATTCAGCCCATAAGATGATATTTATTATAAACAAGGTTATATGTAAATACAATAATATAAAGAACCTTTCAATTTATTGTAATAACATAAAATTTTATTATATTTCAAGTGTAACATAAATAACATGTTTATGCTTTATATCCGCGACTCTTCCTTTTACCTCTAGCCTTTTCAAATTTCCTTCCCTTTGATCTGACATATGGTTTGGTATGGCTATGTGGAACCCCAGGTGCAGGTCCAAAATGTCTATAGACTTCTCTGGCTTTTCTAGGCCCTATTAAATACATAAATAATAACATTAAAATGTTTAAGTTACCTTGCAAGAGCATAGTATTTTTCCCTGTTGGAGCTTTCAGAGGTAGTTGATCCAAAGTAAAGAGTTGACCTCCTGCTTTTAAAATTCTTTGCCTAGCAGTTTTAGTGCAGGCCAAAGAACATATCTAAAGGTTATTATAAATTTAATATATAATAACAGAATTATACTTTTAAATTGGGAACTTTGTAAAGTCTCTTATCATCTGTTATTTTTCCTACTATAACAATTAATTTATTTTCTTCTCCTTTTGATTTACGTACCTATAAAAACTGTATAAATTCATAAATATAATATAAGTAACTATTCTAGCAAGTGAGATAGGTGCACGGTTAGTCCTACTCATTATAATGCGCTTTAAGATGATTCTGTTGAATTTCGAATTCGTCTTGGTCGCCAAACATTTATAAAGCTATTTTATAAACAGAATTACAAATAATAAAAGGAAGAAAATACCTTATATAATAAAACTATGTAAGGATTATCCGTCTTTGGAGTCCTTCGCACTGCTTTGCGAAGGTTATTATGTCGCATGTCAATACCCTAAAATAATCATAACTATAAATATAATTTATAAATTGTTACCATCTTTTATGCTAAAATGTTAACGATCAGATGTATTATAATGTCGGATTATAAGCATCCTTAACTCGGTTTGATTTTAACAATAAATTTTGATAAATTTTAATTTAAATTTATTGCACTACTAAAATAAATTCTCAAGATAATCCTTAAAATAACAATTTAAACTTATTTTCAATTGTTTTTTATCTTGCTAAACAATATTTTACCTCAAAATATCTGGCAATTGGAATTAATTTTAATTTAAAAACGGTATTCATCTTTTCAGTAAAAATTTCTAATTCCCTCCACGATAATAAACACTATATGTCCTGACAACATGGCAATTGTTTATTTTAATTTTCTTTTATTTCCGATTGTTTTTTTACATTTTGGATTAATAATTTCTAAAATTTGATTCAGGGGCGTCGCTAGCCTTTACAGTCTCTGCAGGGGCGTCGCTAGCCTTTACAATCTCAGGGGGCTCAATTAAAAAAAATTTATGGTGGGGGGCGAAGCCCCCCATATTCTCTGATTTCCTGGCCTTCGGCCGTGTTTTATATTAATATAGTATACATTATTAAAATTGCTAACTCTTAACAATTATTCTGATTTTCATATTTTGTCATTTATCATATTTTGCATACAGAATAAACTAGCATATAAATAATTAAAACAATAGAAGATATTTCTAAAAATATTATTTTACAATACAAAATCTATTTAATAATGTATAAATATTTTCGATTGCTGATATAAAAAATTTTGTAAGGAATTACAAGTAATAAAAAAGGTTAATTAATTCATACATATTCCTCAATTGATAATGAAAAAACCACGGCTATATAATTCTTAGCAAGTTCCATTGACATGAGGTAATGAAACTAATATAACTTGCTGTTACCATTTTTACGATGTTTTATAGAATTAAGGATACATCTATAGGCCTTACCAAATCAACAATTCTTGAAGAAGTGAATATAAACGACCAATCCAAATCATAAACCTATATGGTGGTTAGAGCTTCCTCTTAGATGATATGATGGAAGCTAGATAAGTAATCGAGAAAATTATTGGGAGATATTAAATTTCTAAAAGATTATATTCCATTTTTAATGATATATAAACGACTACGCAGTTGACCATTATTGCTTATCTAAAATATGCAATCATATGCTCTCAGCAGCTGTAGTAATAATCTTAAATTACATAGCCACACTAATAATAGATGCTATTTAATTTGCAATCATAACCATGATACTCATGATGGTAACCCATATCAGAATTTATTATGTTAGATAAATTGATAAAACAAAAACACAAATCTTTAAAAGATATTATGCAAATATTTTGAAGCCTTGAGTTATTTACACGTCAAAGATGCCATATTAGTAATGAAACATTTTGTAACTGTAAAATAAGAACCATAGAGATATCATGAAAGCAATTAAGATTTTATATATTATTGTCACACCACCTCTAGGTGGTACATTATATTTTAAAATAATAGTAGTTTGTAATAATATAAAAAATATATTCGTTTCAAAAATTTAATTCAAAACTGTTTTTCAAAGAAGAAAAAAATAGCTTTCCTAAAAACACATAAAAAAAGAGAAGAAAATATATTGAATTTATTACATCCATTGTGGAATGAATAATAAGACGTTTAATTTTAATAATATTTTAAATATATAAATGGTGTTAAATAATTGAATCCAAATTGTTACTTATATTTATTATCAAAATCATTTATTATTAAAATTTTAAAATTAATATATTTATAACTGTCAAATACGTCTGTAAAAGTGGCATTTTACCTAATATTTTATAAATAATTATATATTATAGAGGATTATAAACTATATGTCTACTTGCATTTATAAATAAATCTATACTTATTTGGATTTGGACCTTGAAAATAATTTTAGGAAGAGACATGATAATTATTTAAAAATCAATAATATAGTTGATTAATTATTTTGAACTCGACTAAATACATATTAAATTTGTTGATTTTCAATTAATAAATGATTATACTTATTTTTATTTAACTAGAGTTATATATAATTTAAATAATATAAGTCAATTAAGCTTCAACGGTTAATGCTAAATTAATATTTAGTGAGTGATATTGATATATTTTTAACACAGAATTTGATTGCAAGCTGACATAGTGAAAAATAATTTATATGTATTTAATCTAATAATTAATTTAATAAAAATTTAGATAAGTCTTATTAATTTTTAAATAATAAAATTAAATCTATATATTACACAATAGAATTATAAAAGAAATCGTTGAGGAGGCCATTAAAATTTTTAGTTCAAGGGGATATTAAGGAGCCATTAAAAAAAAATTTGCTTGGGGGCATTAAATTTTTCAGGGAACTTGAGCCCCTGCGTGTCTTCCCCCCCCCCCCCCAAAGTGACGCCAATGTTTTGATGAATATTTAAACATATTATTGTAAAAGTAAGAACATCATTTTGTATTTTCTCATTTTATTTTATATCAATAAACACTATATTTGCGACGATTAAGTATAAAGAGACATATTAAATTAAAGGTTAAAGAGATGAAGTTTATTATACTATGCCTATGGAAGACTCGAAGATAATTCTGAAGAAAAAGGAAGAAACATCAACATCTAGTCAATTCCATATTCCAGAATTCTTCAAAAAATTGAATGTTCAAGACTATGTGTTGATTGTAGCATAATAAAAAAAATGATGAAATAATTTTTATAATTTAGAAAGAGGCGGAGAAACTATTATAGATTTTTCGATCAAATTAAAAAGTATTTGTTCACTATGTAATTTTAAAACGCCTGTTGATGAACTTTTAAGAGATATTTTTTAGGAGTAGGGCTGCCCAATTTGGATAAATAGTTTCGGTCAAATTATACCGAATGCAATCTCACTTTTGAAGATACCGTGTGTTTAGCGATCGCGCTGTCTTCCTTGGAAAAGTTGACCTAGGTAATAGTTAACAAAATCATTAACATAAGCAGATGCAAGGTTCTAAAAACATGTATTTTAAGAATAATAGTTATAATAATTATAATAAATTATATAATTATAATAGTTATAATGTCAACAAATTAAATCATAATAATTATATTCCTAATAATTATAAATCTAGTTTTAAATAACTTGATACAAAATAAATTCATATATTTTAGATGTGGAAAGGCACATAGCAAATGATTGTAGAACTCATGCCTTACAGATGATTTTACCACGGTCACTTATCCTGTCATTTCCTATTAAAGCTACTAATGATGTGAAGATAAATGGTTTGCGGTTCACAAGGAAATCGTTACCGGTGTGCGTGCAGTGTGATATATGAAGTTGCCTGGAGACGCATTGACAAACCATCACTATCGCTTGCGTATAAACTTGTGGGGTATAATAATATAAAAGAGACCTGATAAAATAACAAATAACCCTTTAATACTGCGGGTTACCTCGCTAATAAATCACGACTCTGAGATAATTCATAGACTGGTAATTAAAACAAATTTGCCGACGCTCTGTCCAGTTTGGAAGTAAAAAAATTCGAAGATGAAACCAGAGAATTAAAAATTAATTTATTAGAAGATTTATCTTTCACTCGCACTAAAGTGTAAGTGAAACAAGCAATGATATCAATCTGGAAGAGATTATTAAATTAATTTAAAACATTGGTGTATTGATAACAGAAATAAATATTCAGAGATTTTAAAAAAAATTTATTTTATTAAAAATAATATTTGTTCGAAGAAGATTTATTATTTTATAATGATAGGATTATTATTCCTGATAATCTAAAGAAGGAAGTTTTAAATGTTATTTATCAATGGGATAATAAGGATGAAATCATTATGATACTATGTTTTTTGGGCAAATCTTGATCGTGATGTTGAAGATTTCGTTAAATGCTGTAAGAGTTGCCAGGAAAGACGACCGGGAGCCAGATTAGCGCCGTTATACAATTGAAACATTCTACCCGACCTTGGAACGAATACACATTGATTTGACAGGCCCCGTATCTGGAAAGTATTAGTTAATTTGCATAGTTGCCTCAACAAATGTGTTGAAGTGACAATTTCAACAAATTAATTCGGCTAGTGTAGTATATAATCTGCGTTAATATTTCCTTAAATTTGAGCTACCTCACTACATTGTTTTAGATAGCGGTACTCATACTGGATCTGAATTCCAAACGTTTCTTTTTAAAAACAACATAAAACATTTTTGATCAGAACCTTATAGCCTCAAATCAAATGGTCTGGTTAGCGTTATATACAAATGATAAAAACGAGTTTCTCTATTGAAGAAGATGTGAAACTCCGAGTTAAATTTAGCGAATGTTTTAATTACTCATCGAAATATTCAAAATGCAACTATCGGTAAATCCCCTGCCGAAATGGTGTTAGGAAGGCCGCTTAGAACGACGTCAGATCAATGGGAGAGAAAAAGGCTGAAAACGCATTATGGAAACCAAAATATTAAGATAGGGTCGTTGAACCCCGTGAATTTGAAAAGAAGCAAAAGGTTTGGGTAGAAAAAGAAAGGACTGTGGGATGGCATGTGATAGTGGTTCAACGAAAAGTTCAATAATGTATCATGATGAGTCTGAGGGTATTGTAAAAAGCATACCGACCAATTGAGAGATGCTCAGGTGCAAGCTAAGGAAATACCCATAACAATAACGAAAGATTTCGAAAATGCAGAACATAATGTAATAAAACTCTTAAAAACGTCTCGAAACCCCCACTACGTTATCATGACGAATTCAATTTTTAGTGGGGAGAATAGTAATGTATTAACTTTAAATAAATTGTATTTTGATATTTTGTTTAAGGATACAATTTATGTATGTTAATTGATTGATTATAGTAAATAAATAAAAGAATAATCATATATGCATAATTGAAATTCTTTTAAAATAGATTTTTTTTAAACCTGTATTTTATTTTATTTATTAAGCTTTACTACATCCCGTGGGTTGTCTATTGAAAAATGCAATACATTCAACATGACATCAGATATAATTATCACAACCATTATAATAAAAAACTAAAGGAATCAACCTCTTCAAGAGATAAGATGAATTACTC